TTCCTTCCTTCCTTCCTTCCTTCCTTCCTTCCTTCCTTCCTTCCTTCCTTCCTTCCCTCCTTCCTCCCTTCCTTCCTTCCTTTCTATTTCAGGCATCTAGGCATCTAGGTGGCACAATGGATAGGAAGACTTGTCTTCATGAGTTCAAATCTGGCCTCAGACACTTAAGAGCTGTGTGACCCTGGGCAAGTTACCTAACGCTGTTTGCATTAGTTTCCTCATCTGTCAAGTGAACTGGAAAAGGAAATGGCAGACCACTCTAGTATTTCTAGTCAAATGAGCCAGAGAAGGAAATGGCAGACACGCTAGTGTTTTTGCCAAGAAAACTCCAAATGGGATCATGAACAGTTGGACTGACTGAAATGACTCAACAACAATAAAAGGGGATCTTCCAGGTCATTCATTTCAGCTCTCTCATTGGGGAGATCTGTGGATCGTAGTATCTAGAACTGGGAGGAACCATACAAACCATCTGGTGTAATCCCTTCATTTTATTGATGAGGAAACTGAGGCCCAGAGATGTTAAGTGATTTTCCTGAGGCCAAACAGGGAATAAATGGTGGAGTTGGGGCTCAAACCCAGGTCTAATGACCTCAAATCCAGTGTTCTCTGGTTGCATGACATTGGGAAAGTAATAACCTACTTAGCTTCATTATTCTCATTTGCATAATCAGAATAACCAAACTTAAACAACCTATATCAAAAGAATGTTTGGAGTGAAGTGATTTATATGCTATAGATGTGGGGTGCCAGTATTATTATTACTCTTATATACCATGCCATATAATAATGTAGGAGAATATTATTAGTTATGATGATAATAATAATTTTGAGAAATCAGAGAGTATTAGGATTGGAAGAGCCCTCACAGGATATCTAGTACAATTCCTATCTGAACAAGTATCCCTCCTATACCACTGCTAATAAGTGGCCATCTAGTGTTCCCTTGAATATCTCCAATGAGGTAGAAACCATCGCCTTCTCTTTTTGGATAACTCCAATTTCAGGATGTTTCCTTAACATTAAATCCAGAGTTACTTGCTTGAAACTTCTATCCATTGCTTCTAGTTCTCCCCCCCGGGGCCAAGAGAAATAATTTTCATCCTTTCCCATGACAGCCTTTCAAGTCCTCAAAGATGGTTATCATGCCTTTCCTAAGTCTTCTTGTCTCCAGTTAAATACTTGCAGGTCCTACTCTGGATCCTTTCATGCCACAGTTTCTTGTTCATTCACTAGGCTCATTGCCTTTCTCTGGTCACTCTCCCAGGTCTCAAAATCCTTCCTAAAACATGGTTCCCAGAACCATGTGGTCTAACTAGGTCAGTGGAGAGTGGATGGTTATTATCCATTTCATTCTTAACCCTCTGCCTTAATACAACTTTAGGTTGACAGCTTTGTGCAACTCTGCCTCACTTAAATCCAGTTCACTTGCAAGTCAAGACATCACGAGGTCATGTCATTGGTCCTCTTCAAGAAGAAGCAGCACAGTTTGCATCCTATGAGCCTTCCAGGTCACATTATTAGCACATATTGATTCTGCAGTCCCCAAAACCTTACCATATATAATTTTTAAGGCAGTTAGGGTCACACAGCCAGTAAGTGTCAAGTGTTTGGTCTGAGGCCAGATTTGAACTCAGGTCCTCCTGACTCCAGGGCTGGTGCTCTATCCACTGCGGCACCTAGCTGCCCCTACCTTACCATATCTTGAGGTGCCCCAGCCATGTTGCTCATTCTCTTACAGCTCATTTGTCTGTTCTACCTCCATACTTTGCTCCCCAGCAGCTATCTTCCCCCATTCTTTCCAACTCTCTATTATATTTTGTTTTCCTTATTAGAATGTGATCACCTTGAGAGAAAGAACTGTCTTATTTTTAAATCCCCCATGCTTAACAGTGTCTGGCACATAGTAAATGCTTAACAATTGCTCTGCCTGTCTGTCTGTCTTTCTCTATTTTTCTCCTGTTGGCTGTGGTTCTGACTTTCTGGACTTCAATATCATGCCTCAGTTGCCCTCTCACCATGGAAGACGCGTCACTGCCTGGACCATTCTCACCTTGGTACATCCCTCTGATATCTCAGTTCCCTTCTTCTATTTGCCAACTCACAGGGTCTCAATGGGGTTCCCACCCGCTGCTGCAAATAGGGTATTGTCCCTAGTTAGTTAAAGGTCCTTTGCTACCACATCATGGTTCTTGCCATTGTAGGGCTCCCACGATTGCAATCCAGGCTTTATTTCACCGACAGTCACTTATTTTAACCCAAGTGTAGCACTTTATAGCGCTATTTATTAGGTTCCTAATAGATTCAGCACATTATTTCAGATCTTTTTTGATCATGACTCTCTCATCCAGTACATTAGCTGTCTGCTAGCTTTGTGTCATCTGCAAACTTGCCGAGCTGACCTTTCTCAAAGTCCCTGATAATCACAAACAGCTAATGTGTTTGACATATTCACACATACACACACATGAATACACAAAAATATCTCCAAATGGCTCATCGGACACTATGGGGGCTTCTTACTCTTCTCCTATCCCTGTGCTTTGGGCAGAAAGGTATTTTTTTTGTTTAAGAGTTGTACCCTCATGTAAACCGCCAATGTCAGAGAATGAATCCAAAAAAACCCTGAAGAGATTGTTTCTCAGATGGAAGGGGCCATGAATCTCAGTCATCATCATTAAGTTTGTTGGACATAACCCTGCTGCCTGAGCTCCAGGTTAGTGTTTGTAGGGAAACCAGGCTGAGCTGTGGTTTGTGATTTGTGATATCGTGGTTAATGGTTCATGTGACCAGAGGACAGAACAAACCTAAGCAATAGATGAACCCTAGAACTTTAGAAACCTTTGAGGTCACCTGATCCAGTTCTTCCCTGAAACATGAACCTTCTCTAAAAGTCCCCAAGTGCTCCCACTGTCCCTGCTTAATCTCCAGTGACAAGGAACCTCCTGCGACAGCAGATTCTGTAGGAAGTGGTAGGAGGTGGTGTGGAGTATTGACCTGGGCTTGAAGCCCAGCTGTTACAGGCTGTCTGTATGACTCTGGACAGGACTTTTAACCTCCCAGTGCCTGATTTCTCATCTGTAAAATGAGGGGGTCAGAACAGCTGATCTCTAAGGTCCCTTCCGCCTAGGTGATCCTAGAGGAGGAAGATCCATGAATATCCCCATCACCACAAATGGGCCCTTTTATCTTTCTATCTCCTTGGATTAAATTCTTGCTAGTTCTGTCTTTATTCTTCGCCCACACATCACAGCCATCCTTTGTACTCAAACATCACAAATAACAGGTCAATCCTGCTGAATACTTTTCCCTGATGCCTCTCAGATCCACCCTTTCCTATCTTTTCTGTACATTCACCGCCCCAAGCCAGACCTCTGTGACCTTAATAAAGCTTGCTGCAATAGCAAGTCTCCCACTTCGGCTCCTACCCTTCTTGCCACATGATTCCCTCCTGACTCCTGTTCACCACCCAGCTCCATCACAGTGGCAGTCACTTATGTCTTGCTAAATCCTAACCTGGGACCCTCCTACCATCCACCTCCTTCACTTGTGCTGCGGGACAGAGCTGGAGGAAGTCGGGCAATCATATTGACTGGGTCTACCATAAAATTGTTACCTGATCTCCACTGGGTCCTCCCTACAATCCTTTTATTCCACCTTAAGTGGTTTTCCATACCTCTCCCCACTTCTCTTTCTTCAAGACTCACACAACATTCCCTTTGTCCATCCTCTGAGCAGAGGACTTTGCCTCAAATTTAACTGAGAAAATAGAGACTGGTCAGTGTAAGTTCCCTCTTTACATCTCCAATGCCTTGGACATCATCATTTGTCCTCTCCTCGTTTCCTATAATGTTCTCACCAAGGTCAGCCCCTTTCCATGTACCTTTGACAATAATAATAATGATGATGATAATAGCTAACATTTACATAGCACCTACTATGAGTTAAATGCTTTACAATTATTATCTCATTTAATCCTCACAGCAACCCTGGGAAGTAGGTGCTATTACCCCATTTTACAGATGAAGAAACTGTGGCATAATCTGGCTCCTTCCAGTCTTTCTGGTCTTCTTACATTTGCTCCCCATCATACATGCCATCATCCAGAAATGCCAGCCTTCTTGTAATTCCTCGCACAGGCCATGCCTTTTTATTAGCCATTTCCTGAGCCAGGACCACTCTCCCTCCTTCTCTCCACCTCCTGGCTTCCTTCAAGTCTCAGATAAAATCCCACATTCTTCAAGAGGCCTTTCTGGATGTCCTTCCAGCTGCTAGTGCCTTCCCTCTGTGATGACCTCCCACTTCCACTGTCTGTGTCCCATGTTATCTCCACCATTAGAATGGCAGCTCCTTGAAGGGCTCCTCAAGACCATGTTTTGGCCTTTATTTGTATCTGTGGCATTGACCGTGGTGCCTGATACATAAATGCTTGTTGACTGCTTGATTTATCTGTTAAAAAGGTATAACAATACCTATGTTTTGAGGCTTAAGTGAAATATCCTATGGAAAGTGCTTGGTAATAATAATAGCTAGCATTTATATAGGGCTTTAAGGTTCGTGTGGGAAGCTAGGTGGTTCAGCAGACAGAGTGCTGAGCCTGGAGTTAGGAAGACTCAGCTTCCTGAGTTCAAATATGGCTTCAGACACTTACTAGCTTAACCCTGTTTGCCTCAGTTTCCTCATCTGTAAAATGAGTTGGAGGAGGAAATGGCAAAGCTCTCTAGTATCTCTGCCAAGAAAACTCTAAATGGGATCACAAAAAGTCAGACACGACTGAAAACGACTGAACAACAACTTAAGGTTTGCATGAGTCTCATAATAACCTTGGGAGTAAGGTACTATTATTATTCCCATTTTACACTTGAGGAGACTGAGGTTAAGTGACTTGCTCAGGATCACATAAGTGGCTGATTCCAGTTCCAGTGTTCTCTCTATTATGCTACTTCACAGCCAAATGAAATGTCAACTTTTATTATATGAAAGAGGCAGAGTCTGAGGGATAGAATCCAAATCTTTATCTCAAACCTTCCAAACAGGGGGAACACATGAAATTTACTTAGACAGAATGCATTCCAAGAAACCAAGGTAATGTGAGCTGCATCTCAGAGAACTGAAGCCTACTTGGGGTGGGCACCACCGGAAGGCTCAAAGTCTGAAGGATAAGGCTGTGGAACTGGAGATCCAGAGAAGACAATGCTGGGATTGATCATCTCGGGGAGAAAGGGCCCGGAGTGGAGGGAGGCCTCCGTCTGGTTGGCCAATAGCAGGCAGAGCTGGTACATGTTGTGATTTAGAAGATGGATGCCCGGGATCAGCTGTTCTTGCTGGTACTGGAGGGCTTTGGCAATGTACATGCTGACCACAGACATCTCCTGCTGGGTTCGGGACAGGTTTCTCACTGCAGGAGGAGAAGGAATATATCCGTCATCAGTGATCTAGACAGGCGGAGTCTCAAAAAAACCCCCAAAAAACCAAAAAAAAAAAAAAGAAAGAAAGAAAAGAAAACCAGCACTGCCATTGCTTACTTACATTCCTCCAGCATGGTCTCCCCAATCTGCTGGTATCTGGGGTCACAGGGGACCTCAGGCTTCTCTTGCTGAAAGGCTAAAAGAAAACACAGACACTGGGATAATAGGCATGAATTAAGAGAAGAGTTCCTGCTGTACCAGTCAACCACCCCCTCCCAACCAAACCCTGACCAGGCACCTAGTCCCCCCATCTCGGGCCTTGAGCACCTATGGCCAGGGTAAAGGAAAGGGTCAAAAAGGAAGAGAAAGATCATCCTGGACACAGAGGATAAAAAGAAACAAACCAGAGCATCCTTCTTTTCAGACTTCTCTTCCATCTCATGGACTGGGGTGCCATCTTTTTATCTGAAGAGGGCATGAGCTCAGCCACTCAACTGAAGCTATGGTCTCATCAATTTGTAAGTACCCTCCAAGATGACAGCAATCACAACTAGGTATGCCTACTTCTTCCCAGGTGATTTTTATTCAGGTCCTCTTATGAGTTAGCCACAACATACTGGAGGCCTCCTTTGCCTTCTCCTGACTTTTCAAGGGTTCCATTGGAGCACTCAGCCTATCCGCATCATCCTTCCATCTCAACCCATGACCAGCCCACCATCTTTTTTCCATTATCTGTTTCCCTGATGGCATTCTTAACTCCTGCTCTTCATTGAAGTTCTTCATTTATTAGATGTGGAAACCTACTCAGTCACACCCACCATGTGCCTTTCCATAGACTATAGGGAGCTTTGTTACCCATGAAACAAAGTGTGTGTGGTGTGTGTGGTGTGTATATGCGTGTGTGTTTGTGTGTGTGAGAGAGAGCGGTGAGATTAGAGAATGAATCTTTTCTTTTCGCCAGAACACTACATATGTCCTTAGACAATTAAGTCACTTCTCTCTGAGTCTAATTTCTATCAGTTACATGGAGATGATCCCTCATCTCTACTTATTTAAAAGGGATGAAATAAAGGTAATGCACATCGAAAAAATCAATGAGTGTTTAATAGGAAAGGTACTATATTCATCTAAGGATTAGGATAACAATTTAAACATAGATCATAGGATTTGGGGCATCTGGGTAGAAAGCATTGGACTCCTGAGTGAGAAAGACTTCAGTTCAAATCCTGACTCAGATAGTCATTAGCTGGGTGGCCCTGGGCAAAAGCTTTTAACCTCTCTCAATCTCAGTTTCCTATTTGTAAAATAGGGGATAATAATGTCACCTATCTGACAGGATTGCTGTGAGATCAAATTAGATTATAAATCACTTTGCAAACCTTAAAGAGATATATAAGTTGGAGACTAGGAGATGTAGTAGATAGAATGATAGAAAGGCCCCTAGGCAAGGTGCCTAACCCCTCTCAAACTCAGTATACACTGCCATAAAATGGGGATAACAGCACACCTTAGGGTTGTGAGAAATAAATGAGATTATCTATGTAAAGTACTCTGCACACTTTAAAGTGCTACATAGATGCTAGCTGTTTATAACTACAGCTGGAGGGGACCTGGGAGTATACTTAGTCTAACCCTCATTCCACAAATGAAGACACTGTGATCCACAGAGGGGATGTGACTTTGCCAAGGTTACCCAGAGACTGAGTAGTACAGCCAGGCTCAAGTGGATGGAGGAAAAGATCATAGAATCCTATCATTTCCCATAAATGTCAGACCTTCATTGGGTCCCACACAGGCCCTGGTGAGGTCAAGAGATCTCACTGGTGGTGCATTCCCTGTGGCAGTGATTAAATCCAATATCCACAAAGCTCCTCAGGGATGCTACCTGGTGTGTGTGGATTTAACCAGCCAATCAATTGGGCAACTGCTAATGGCATAGAGGGGGAAAAGGCACACGAGTAGGACTCAGGACGCCTGGGCTCCAGTTCCAGTTCTTGTCATTCCCTCCCCACCTGACCCCAGCCTCCACCAGGCAAGTCATTCTCTGAGCCTCAGTTTCCTCTGTTGTCAAAATGGGATAATAATCCCACCCAGAATGACCTCCCTCATAAGGTGGCTAACAGGAAAGCACTTTGTTAACCTTAAAGTGTAAATCAATGTGAATTACTTCGAAGGAGTGTGCTGGTAAATGTTTAACAACCAGCTCTGAGAGAGGGGCAGAAGCTTAAGTTTGATCTGCATTATTAACGTTTTGCATATTAATTTCTTGTCTAGATAATCAGTTAAACAATAAAGCCCTGACTTATAGCATTTGCTGGCTCTCGGGTGTAAATACGCCTACACTGAAAATTTAACAAATAGCTCTCGCAGAATCAGTGCCAGCATATCCCTGGTACTATTATTATAAATAATTTATCCATTTGGCAAGTGGAAAACCATGTCAAAAGACTGGTTCTCTAGAGAAGTTTAGCAGCAGCTAGATGGTGCAGCAGTTACCCACAGAGACCTGAGATCCTCCCTCAGACACTTAACTAGTTGTGTGACTCTGGGCAAGTCACTTAATGTCTTTGTCTCAATTTTCTCATCTGTAAAATGGTAATAATAATAATTATAGCATCGACCTCAGAAGGTTGTTCTGAGGACCAAAGGAGAAAACATATGTAAAGTGCTTTGCAAGTCTTGAAGTGCTATAAAAATGTTAGCGAGTATTATCACTTATAATCATTAGACTATGAGCTCTTTGGAAGCAGGGACTGATTTTGCCTTTCCTTTTTATCTTCAGCATGTAGTAGGCGTTCAATAAATGCTAGTTGGGTAATCAAAACCTGTGGTATCACTGGATACCTCTTAGGAAAAAAGAAATCAATTGTTGACCGAAGGATGTAGACATTCATCTGCCCAAAGGCAGAGGGCTTGATCAGGTTATTCCTTAACAGTCCCTTCCTATCCTTCTACTTTAGAATTGGTCCTTTCTGGCTTTCGGATTCTGTGGAGGGCTCTTGCAAATATAAAACATTTTTCTTTGAAAGCCTTTTACCCACATCATGCAATTCCTCATGGGAACCAGGGAACAACACCATTTCCCAGTTCTCTCCTGATGAAGAAATAAGATGCAGCCAAGGCCACAGTGTCAGCTGAGAATCTAGGCCTTCAGATCAGAGACTGAGAGCTGGCGGAGATTAAAAAAAAACCCCCAACAATTTCCTGTTACTTTAATCCACAGAACTCACATGAATGATATCGGATGTTTCCAATAGATATGAAGAACCATCATACAGTTTTATATGTCATATGGTTTCTTAGTAGAGAAGGTAGTTTGCTTTCTTAGTACTATGGTTTCTTAGCACAGGAGAGGCTATGCTTTTATATAAAACAGAATTCTTTAAAGCATAAAAAATGGCTGATTGTTAACAGCTATAATTATTTTTCAATAGTTGGATTCTTTTTTTTTTGGAAACACTTCAAACAGTTGAATTGTGCCCATCTCCTTCCAAAGTATCAAATGAAGACAAACAAAAATGACTTGTGAATGAGTACTTATCAACTGGCAGATCCCATTCATTTTACAGATAAGAGAGGTTAACTTGCCTTCACACAGGTAGTAAATAATAGAGCTGAGACTTGAACCTGGGTCCTTGGGACTCCATTCAAGTCATGCTGCCTCCTAAGCATATCAACCAGGCCAGTATAAAGTCTTGCTCAGATGCCCTGTCAGGCTATGGTGGTGATCCTGGGTTCTCAAATGCTGCACCAGTTGAATTTAAGCCCTGAGGGGCCTCGCTGGGCTAGAAAGGCTTAGAATTTGGTCACCGTTAGAGATTTTTGTATCCCCAGCACTTAGCACAGTGCTAGGTGCACAGTAGGTGCTTCATAAACGTCTACTGACTGAATGACTGTTGTCTGAAAACTAGCCTAGCTAAAAGTAAGGCAGCTCATCCCAAAAGGCTGGCCACCCAGTGGTGACTTTTTCTGTCCATTTACTACCTGTATGAACACAGGCAGGCATATGCTTAGGTGAGGGACATACTCTCACTGATAACTATTAGTTCTTTCAAAGGCTGAAGAATACAGTTGAACAGCCCCGTATTGCCTTTCAATGGAACAAACCCAAACTTCGGTCAGATAATTAGACCTCAGCAAACAAGAACTAAAAGAGGGCCTTAAAAATGCTGTTGCAGTAGTGCTAACACCCCTTCCCACTCCAGGACTACTGCATCGACCAAGAAAGCCATGGGAGGGTCCAATGAAGCAACTAGGATGTTTAGCCTGGAGAAGGGAAGACTTGGGTGGTGGAGGGAGGAGCATGAGAGCTGTCTGAAGGCATTAGAAAAGCTGCCTTATGGAAAGAGGATTAAATCTGTTCTGCTTGGCCCCAGAGGGCAGAACTAAAAAGAGGCAGATTCACGTGTGAAGGAAGGAAGAGCTAAAAATCAGAGCTGTCCCAAAGGGTAATCGGCTACCTCTGGGGGCAAGTCAATCCAGCACACATTTATTTTTGTGCTAAGCACCAGAGATCCAAAGAATGGTCCCTGCCCTCTGAGAGTTCCCAATCTAACGAAGATGACAACAGGCAAGCAACTACGTACGGGATAAATTGGGGATAATCAACAGAGGGAAGGCACTAGCAACAGGGGGGACCGGGAAAGGCTTCCTACTGAAGATGGGATGTCAGCTGGGACTTGAATATAGTCAGGACACAGAAACAAAGGAGAGCGTTCCAGGAATGGGGGCCAGCCGGGGAAGATGCTCAGAACTGGGCGATGAAGGGTGCTGTGTTCAAGAACCAGCAAGGAGAAGAGTATCACTGACCCCAGAGTATACCAGGGAAGAGTAAGGTGTGAGAAGACCGGAAGGGAGCTAGTGGGAGTAATGGGATCATCCACACTGGGAGTCTTTAAAGAGAGGCTGAGATGACCACTTGGGCATGTTGGAGTGGGGCTACTTCTCCAGAAGTAGGTCAGACGTTGTTGTTGTTCAGTTGTATCAGTCTTGCCTGACTCTTTGTGACCCCATTTCGGTTTTTTCTTGGCAAAGATACTGGAGCAGTTTGCCATTTCCTTCTCCAGTTCCTTTTACAGATGAGGAGGTGACTTGCCCAGAGTCACACAGCTAGTAGATGTCTGAGGCCATATTTGATGAGTCTTTCCGATTCTAGGCCTGGTGCTCTAGGCTCTGTGGTGCCACCTAGCTGCTCTCAGGGCAGACTAGATAGCTCTATAGTGCCGTCCTAACACTGAGATTAAGCGATTCTTGTGAGAATCAAAACTATCAGGTCAGCAGCTGATCTGAACTCTCCGGCTTCTTAGCTGCGCATGTGAGTGCATGGAGGAGGTTTGGCGGTTAGTAAGTACATGGATGGACTCGTACCTTTCAGCTGTCTCCCTGATAGCTATTTCCTGCTGAGTTTTACACATTTTTCTTCCCTGTTTTGACATATGTCTTTGTGGTAGGCTCTGGTTACGAAGAATATCAAAGGAGAATTTTACTAGCAACCCAGACATGTGACTCATCAAGGCCACAAACGGCACAGTACAGACAAGATGTTTTGTTGGTGTTCAGGTGTGTGTGATGTGGGAGCCGGGGAACAGATGGGGAGGAGGAGGCTGCTGAGATGTGCGGGAATCAGAGGTGTCAGATGTAATTAGATGAGCAAGCAGCTGCACTGAGAGCGAAACCAGGAGTTCAGAGTGAGCACGGGCGAGGCAGATAAGGATTCACATCTGATGCCGCCAGGAGGTTTGGGCCTCCACCTCCAACCTATGCTATTGTCCTGGTGGTCTGCTGGCCTTGGGCAAAGAAGGACCAAGAGCATTGGGGTAGCCAGCAGGAGAAGATTAATTATGCACCCTCCCCTAGGATCTCATCACTCGCAGCTCATCTTCCACCATTAGACACTGCCAGGCACTGCTCTGATGACTGATGACTTCTGGGATGACCCCAAATGGGGAGGAAGAGCCAGGAAGGGGCTTGGAGAATTCCATTCTCAAAATGTGTTTCTCCTCCTAGCTTCCTCTGAATTCAATCCACATCATTTTCTGCTTCACCCTTAGAGGATATGGACCCTTGTGCCACTGAAGCACTGGGGAGAGTAGAAGGAGGGAGGTAGTAGGATTATTACTACTTAGTATTTCAGTAATTGCAGAAAGAATTCAGTAATCACAGGCATATAGGATTCACAGTTTGAAGGGCTGGTTTTCTAGTCCAACCCCTTCATTTTACAGAAGAGGAATCTGAAGGTTTGGAGAGGTGACCTGCCCTGCCCACGGCTGTGGGCAGGAAGTGACAGAGCTGGGTCCTTTGGGATCACTGTTCTCCACTACCACCAAGAAAATGCAGCAAGTTGGTGTTGTTATTTCAGTTGTACAGTTGAGGCCCAGGGAGGTTAAGTAATTGCATCCACCTTGCAAAGCAACACAAAGAATGGAAAACACAGCACAGGCAGATAGCAACAGGCCAACAGCCTCTTAGGAACATAAGGCAGTAAGGTGTCACTGAGTGGAATCTGCTCATTGTGCAGATGAATAAACTGAGGCCCAGGAGGGTGAAATAACTTGCCCAAAGACACATAGGGAGCCAATAGGACATGTGGATAAGTAGATCAGCTGCCTTGACTCAGGGTCACATTCTGATCAAAGAGTCCAACATTTTTCATCACAAAATGTCACAAGGCTCGGTTTTGTTTCCCATTACTTCTCAAGACTGGTGCACACAGAATGCAATCTGTTGACAGCAGCTGCTTGTGAATGCTCAGAAACTGGTAATTATCTGTGCAGTAGAGGCTATGTTCGCTTTCTCTGTGCCTAAGTGTGACCGGCAGCCACGTCAATCAAGCCATGTGAGGTGCTGACAGTCAGTGTTTACCCAGGGGCAGATGTGCTGTGACAAAAGAATAAGAGGAGGGTGGGGGGGGGGGGGCCTCTGAGTGGTTTGTGAGGGAGGAGACAATGTTTCTTCATCTGGTAAGTGGGATTTGGTCAGAGGGGCACAGATATGATCAGAATGATCCTTGGATTAAAAAAAAATTTATATTGCAGGAGCTTGAATTGATTTTGAACTGATGGCATCATAGTCCAAAGAAGAATAATAAGAAAAGGGATGGAAAATAGTTTCCTAAGAGGGAGGAAAAATTCAGGGACAAGGGCTAAGCTGAAAAAGAAAAAAGCTCATAGGAAGTTCAGCTTGGAAAGAGTTTTGGAATCACCCTTACAGACCCACCGACTTCTTCAACCCTCTCCCATATTTCCAATTTCTCTTTTTTACCACACCCAAGTTAATCAGCTCTTCAAAGGACACATCACAGACACTGATTTTTTAAAAATCCCACGTTTCAACATGCTTAAGAACTTGACATAACACACTGGCTCCATGGAAACCCATGGCCATTAATTACAAAATTCGTCCATCCCATTATCTCCCCATCCTTCTACGTACCCGGTTCCTCTAGTGTCTCTCTTCCTAAAGCTGCTTGATTTGCTGCACATCCATCCACTTCTTTGGGCGCTTATTTTGAAAAATATTGTACTCATGAGTTAGACAGCAGAAAATAACACAATATGTTCTTAAATGAGACTTTCAACTACCCCCTTGACAAGTCAACACTCATCCTCAGTGTAGGTGTGGTCACAAAGTTCTTTTATGTTTACTCTCAGATGCCTACCATGGTCCACTTGGTCAGCTGACCCCTGGGAGAGAAAAATAGTCATTCCTGGTAGGTAGAATGTCCTCTAGGATTCTGGGACATGGGGTTGTTAGCAAGCTTGTAGCATTGTATAGTGAGAATGCCTTGGGTTGGAAATCAGGAGACATGGGTTCTGGGCCTGGCTCTGACATTAACTGATTGTGTGACCTTAGAAGATGTTAGGGAAGGAAATCAATCAACGTCAGGCACATGCCAAAAAGTAGGTGGGAAATTCAGAAATAGTTACAGAATTTCAGAGCTGGAAGGGACTTCAGAAGTTTCCTACATCCAACTTAAACATAAGCAGGGACCCCTTCTTGACAAGTGGTCTTCCAGTCTCCCCCTGAATGCCTCCAAAAAGAAGATGAAACCACACTCTTTCCTGAGGGAACCCACTGCTCTTTCTGTCAGGTCTGATCAAAAGGTTAATCCATCGTTTGGAAACCAATACCATTTGCTTCTGGTTCTGGCCTGTGGAGACAAGTGGAACTCTTGACTGGTGTTTTCTAAGACAATAAGCCTTTGGAAAATCACCAATTCTCCCCAACTGTAGGTCTTCAAGCAAAGGCTGGGTGACCACCGCTAAGGTCCCTTCCATCTCTAAGATTCTGCCTTGGTCTCTGCAATGATGCTCACAACACCCATGACAGAGATAACTAATGCTAATGTGGTTTGGGGTGAGGGTTGGGGAAACCTTATTTTCCAATGCAGGCTCTTTCTTCAAGTTGCTGATGGGGAAGGTGAAGCCCAAAGTAGTCTAGAATACTCTGGGTCAGGCCACATGGGGCCTACAACACTCTCAAGTGCAATGCTAACCAGATTTAGTTCCTATCTGGTTTTAATGTGTTGCCATGCTAATAAAAAAGGGAAATATATAAATGTGTGGTTTTCTAAGTTAATATGCAACCCTTAGGGATCCTTATGTATGGTTTAGTTACCTCCACTTCTATTTGAGTTTGACAGCACTGTTCTAAAGCACCCCTACCCCCATCATCCAAGAGAACCCAGAATCGGCAGGCTAGGTGGCACTGTTGGACCGGATGTCAGGAAGACCTGAGTTCAAATCCTGCCTCAGACCTTATTACCTGTGTGACTCTGGGCAAGTCAACTTAACCTCTGCCTCAGTTTCCTCAACTATGAAATGGGGATAATAATAGCACTTACCTCCCAGGGTTACTGTGAGGATCAAATGAGAATATACATGTATGTATATATATGTATATATGCATATATAGATTATATATTTGCAAAACCACATGTGTGTCTATATACATACATATATGTATGACTTTGCAAATCTTAAAGTGCTATATAAATGCTATTATTATTATTATTATTAATTATTGATTGGGATATGGCCCTTGGGTATCTACCAAACCCTAGAAAGTAAGAGAAATGCACTCACAAGTGAGAAGACCCAGCATGGAATACATAGGCTGTGCTGGAACACTGATCTTAGATGGTCATGGTCCCATGCCCCGGTATGATTTCAACTCCCTCTTGGATTCTGGACTTACCATCACTGGTTTCACTGTCGTTGGACTGATGCTCTGTGATGGGAGTCACTGCCTGTGGAGGCTGTGACCATGTTCCAGGTAACACTTCTTGGGTTTGGAAGAAAGAATGGATTATTTCAATCATCTATCACCAATTATCTCTGGTGAGTAAAAGGCAACAAGAAACCTCTATGTGCAAAAAAACCCCACCTAACTTTATTTATAAAAAGAAAGTGAGGAAGGCAGTTTTCCCACTTGGACTCAAAGCCTCTCTCTCCAATTTCTTTCAGGGAGTAAGGAATGAGGCTTTTTTTGTGAAAAACTCTAGCCATATGTACACAGGCTAGTTGATGTGGTCAATTAAGGTAATTAACTGAATTACTCAGGCCAAAAATAAACCTACTAAAGAGAATTTTTGTCTCAGTTCCTTTTCTGAATCAATTCAACAAATATGTTAAATGCTTACTCTGTGCCAGGCACCTTGTCAGGCACTAGGAATACAATGACAAAAATGAAACAATCACAGCCCTCCACGAATTTACATTCTATTGGACAGGGGGAGGAGGAGAAGTGAGTGGATAAACACACAAGAAAGACAGAGCACCCTCTGGACAGTTAATGACTCAACTTTCCGCTTCACCTCCGTAGACACTGCTGTAGTCAGAAAAATTCTCAGCCACCAAAGTCTACCAAATAACTTTCCCATGGGGCTGTGATGCACCCTTCCCCTTATCACAGCCTCCAACCCCAAGTATAAATTTATTGGTCAGACCTCCCTGAGTTTCTGTGTCTCGGGTGAGGGAGTGGGTGGCTAAGAGGGTTGACTCAGTTCAAACAGAGATTCCTGTTGAGAATGTTACCTGGCTGGTCTGGGCCAGAAGGCTTCACAGGGAGTGGAGCAGGCATTTCTGAAAGTTAGAAATGGAGGTAACAGCATCACTTAGGCAGTGCCCACAGATGCTGAACCACTAGAACCTGTGCAAATAGGACTTGGACAAACCTCGCAGGCAACATATGATGCAGAGGTCATTGCTAAGATTTGTCTTTTGGCTAAGCACATACAGATGGAGACACTGGAATTGTAAATGAGTATAAGATGAAAGGGTTTCTTATTCCTCTAGAGTAAAACATATACTCCTTTGTTTAGCTTTTAAAGTCCTCAGCAATCTGGCCCCAGCCTATGTTTCAGATTCATTGGACATTAACCTCATCTCCATACTATGATGCAACCAAAATGGTCTTCTCTAGGTTTCTCACTCAAGACATTTCATTTCCCATCTCCGAACCTTTGTAATGGCTTCCTCCCATCCCCGGAATGCCCTTCTACCTTGTATCTACCACAGAGAGCCCCTAGGCAGTGCAGACAACACCCACTTTTTGCATGCAGCCTTTACTAAAGGTCCCCTAATTGCTAGTGTCTTCCCTTCCAAACTACTTTATATTCAATTACTTTGTGTATATTTGTATTAATTTTATATTTATGCTTCATATTTACTGAATATTATATTTAACATATTCATATTAACTTTATAATATTTACATTTACATATGTCTCCCAGTGAGCTTATGTACAGTCTCTCCTATTAGACTGTGGGTTCCTTGACAGCAAGGACTGTTTTTTGGTATCCTTAGTTCCTTCTAGGGTGCTTGGCACATAGTAGGTGCTTAATAAATACTTGTTGATTGAATTCTGGTAATTTTCAAGCCCTCAATCCGACCCTCCTAAAATTAATGATAAACTTTAAATAAAGATGCGTGCTTTTTCCAAAGCCTAGTTCATTTCAATTAAATGAGCAGTCATTAAGCACCTACTAACGTGCCTGGGCCCTGGGGATACAAAGACAAAGAAGTAATATTCCCTGTCAGTAAGGAGCGTCCTACCCCCGTTTCTTACCCTCTTCCTTATTCTGCCTCTGGAGTTGCAGGGCTGTCTTTGCTTTGGTAGGTTGTTTTGGCCCTGTCAGGGAATAGAAAGAAATAGTCCATTTCATACAGAACAGCTAATATGGAACAACAGATGAGAACAGAAAATGAATGGCATCTGCTTTGCACAGAGCAGGTGCTTCCCCAGTACTTGCTAAGTTGTCAGAGAGAGTCCTGAAAAAGGACCAGGGCCTTCTATACAGTTTCTAGATTCAACTCTATGGGTGCGAATTGACCCCTAAACTAGGGATGATGGCCCTTATCCTACTTCATAGGGTGGTCTACTGTGAGACAGTGAATGGGAAAATTGATGCAAGCTCCTTGATAGCTGGGATTGAATTTACATCCCCAGCACCTAGCACAGTGCCTGACACATAGTAGGCACTTAATGAATACCATCTAATTGATTGAACAAGCACTTATTAAGTGCCAGCTGTGTGTCAGGCCATGTGCATGGAACTAGGGATCCAGATAATGAACTATCATCTCTACTATCAATGTGAAATGGAGATAATAAGGGCACCCATGTCACAGGGTTGTTGTGAGGATCAAATGAGATAGTAAAGAACTTACTGCAATGTCTGGCACATAGTACGTGCTTAATAAACACTTCTTTCTTCCTTCCTTCTTTTCTTTCTTTTTTCCTATTTTTTTTTAGGGGCAGCTAGATGGCACAGTGCATACAGCACCAGGCCTTGAGTCAGGAATACCTGAGTTCAAATCCAGCCTCAGACACTTACTAGCTATGTGACCTTGGGCAAGTCAGTTAACCTCTGTTTGCATCAATTTCCTCATCTATCAGAGGGGGGATAATAATAGCACTTACCTCCTTTGGTTATAAGGATCAAATGGGATAATAATCATAAAGCACTTAACACAGTGCCTGGCACACAGTAAGTGCTATGTAAATATTGTTCAGTTGTTCACGTCCAACTCTTTGAGACCCCATTTGAGGTTTTCTTGGCAAAGATTCTGGAATGGTTCACTATTTCCTTTTCCAGCTCATTTTACAGATAAGGAAACTGAGGCAAACAGAGTTAAGTGACTTGCCCAGGGTCACGCAGCTAGTAAGTATCTAAGGCCAGATCTGAACTCAGGAAGGTAAGACTTCCTGACTCCAGGCACAGCAGTCGTTCGGCTGTGCGTGTTAGCTATCGTTAGTATTATTACTATTTTTTTTTAGCAGCAGCAGTAGATAGAGTGCTGGGCCTGGCATCAAGAAGACCTGAGTTCAAATATGGCCTCAGATAGTTCCTAGCTATGACCAGGGCAAGTCACTTAAAAATATCTCTGCCTCAGTTTGTTCATCTGTAAAATGGGAATAACAGCTCCTCCCTCTCAGGGTTGTGCTGAGCATCAAATGAGATAATGGTTGTAAAGCACTTAGCACAGGGCCTGGCACACAGGAGGCACTATATACATGCCAAGTATTAGTATTACCAAGAAACTTACATTATATCAATGACCCTAAAGCTCTCTGAAAAGTATGAGGGGGCCACCCCTATGGCAAAGAGGCTGTACAGAATCAAGTGCAGATGAATTCAGCGTCAATGCAAGCTTCCTGACTTACATTTTGAGGGCCCAGCCTTTGGTGAGCACCTGGCCGCCATCTTCCAGAGGTTGCTCATTTCCTCATAGAAGTGCGGCAGAGGGTCTGAGTGGGCTCCTGTCGTCAGGTAACGAGCCTGTTCAAAGCGGAACTGGGTCTTGAGGTGCTTCCACTTGGTGCGGCACTGCTCGGCCGTGTAGCCCACATGGCGCTTGGCCAGAGTCTCAGTGACCTCTCTCCAGAGCTTGCTCTTTCTCTGACTGTTTCCCGAAATGATCTGGTGGACTTTGCCCGTCTTGAAGATGGCCTCTAGCAGCAGTTTGATTTCATGCTGGCCCCAGCTTGCTCTCCAAGAGCCTTTCCGGGGTTTCTTTAAAACATTTTTGGGCTTTCTGAGGAAACACAATGGAAGCTTTATAACAGGGGTTCCCCCACCTGTGATAGGTGCAGCCCCAGGAGGTATAAGAAGCTTGTCAAGAAGATACAGAGAATATGCCATTCTTTCTTTCTTTTTCTCTTTTTTAACATTCACTTCCCAAAATTTTGAGTTCCAAATTCCCCCCCACCTTCCCCCACCCATTGAGAAGACAAGCAATATGATATCAATTATGCAGGTGAAGTCATCAAAACATAACCAGGGAATATTTGAAAAGTAACTATATTACCCTATCGAAGTTAATGAAACGATTTTGTTTCCTGTGGACATATTCAGTTAAGCTCTAGAATTTATTTCCTTATTTCCAGACAGTGGCTTGACACACATTGAGTGCTTAATAAATGCTTGGGGAAGTAAAAAGTGCCCAGCATAAAAGAAAACTCACAAGGAAGCAAAGAAAAGATGGACAGCTCTCAATACAACGAGGAGTATTTATTATAGAGGCTTTTTTGACATGGAAATTTATTGCTGCATATTTTGAATCCTCTTTTATGTTCTGCTGTGCACATGGAAATGCTTTTTTTTCTTTTCTTATTTTGTATTTAAGTTTATAACATGTTTTTCCTTTTTTATTGTGTATTTAAGTTTAAAATTAGTAAAAAATATTTAAAAATGCTTGGGGACTTGGCTTGTCTAAAGAGAGGAGTACAGGAAAATTTAGAGATTTAAAAGATTGGGAACCCTTGCTTTACAAGGTTTAAGGTCCTTTGAGCATATCTGTTGTACAAACAGCTTTGCAACTGGGGAGAGAGGATGTCAACATACCTAGATTTAGAGCTGAAAGGGACCTTAGAGTCCATCCACCTCATTTTACAGATAAGGACACTGAGACCCTGAGGTCTCAATTTTACACTAAGTGACCTGCCCAACTTCAAAGAAGTAGTAAGTGGTGGAACTCACATTTGAACCCTGGTCCTGACTCCCAAATGAAACAATTGACTTTTGCCTTCAAAGCTCCCCACCCATTCATAAGTCAATACAGAGAGAGAGAGAGAGAGAGAGAGAGAGAGAGAGAGAGAGAGAGAGAGAGAGAGAGAGAGAGAGAGAGAGAGAGAGAATAAATGGAAGAGGAAATAAGGCCGACAGGGTGTAAGGAGAGACATTATCCCAGACACTGGGGACAGCCAACGAGAATGAAAGGAGTCAGAAGATGGAATTTGCTTTCATGGAACAGCAAGAGCAGTGTCCCAGGCTGGTTCAGCCCTACCTGCTGGAAAGGCAGGAATGTGGGCCAGAGTGTGGACAAGACTTTAAAACCCAAACAGAGGCCTTTATATTTGATCCTGGAGGCAAGAGGTAGCCATTCGAGTTTACTGAGTTTTCATTACTCGCTAGACCCCAACTTGTAGAGCAGATAAGCTGGTACCAGGCGTTGGAACAGTGCCAGGTAGAAGAATGCAGATGGACCCTCTGCTCTTCCCAAATCACTGAGTCCCTAGGTAATTGTGCCACTAGGTGGCTCAGCGGACCGAGTGCTAGACCTGGCTTCAGGAAGACCTGAGTTCAAATATGATCTGAGAAACTTACCAGCTGGGTGACCCTGGGCCTGTCTCAGTTTCCTCATCTGTAAATGGGGGTGATAATAATAGCACCTACTTCTCAGGGTTGTGGTGAGGGTCAAATGAGATATTTATAATGTTTTTTGCAAACCTTAAAGTGCTATATAAATGCGAGCTTTAGCTATTTTTAAAGCAGTTTTATAACTTAATTAGCATTTTCACCCAGAGGGTGAGCCAAGGAAGACAAATATTAGATGGAAATATACTCTTAGAAAGTTGCCAGGGACACTGAGAGATTAAATGACTTACATAGGGTTATATGGACAGCATGCATCAGAAATCTTGGGGCACTGAGAGGTTAAGTAACTTATCCAGGGTCACTTGGCTAGTAAGTGTCAAGAACTGGGGTGAGAGGAAGGGAACAAGCATTTATTAATCACCTACTGTGTGCCAGGCACTGTGCTGAGCCATTTACAGTTACTCATTTGATCCTCACAATAACCCTGGGAGGAAGGCACTATCATTATTCTCACTTTACAGTTGAAGAAACTGAGGCAGACAGAGGTTAAGTGGCTTTCTTTGAGCACAGGGACAGTCTTTTGCCTCTTTTTACATTCCTATTGCTTAGCACAGTGCCTGGATCATAGCAGGTCCTTAATAAATGTTTATTGGTTGACCTGCCCAGGGTCACACAGCTAGGAAGAATCTGAGGCTGAATGTGAACTTGGGTCTTCCTGACTCCTGGCCCAGTGCTTCGTGTACTATGGCACCACCTAGCTTTGAGAGAGTGAAGAGTGGTGCAGGACACAGGTTATGAGCTTGGATGATAGGGACAATGGTTCTGCCGACAACAAGTAATAGGGAAATTCAGAAGAGGAGAGAGTTTGGGGTGAGAGGGACAAGAGAACAGTAATTTAATAACTGTCTGCTGAGTAAATCAAATTGAATTGAACGAGAGTTACTATTATTGGCATCTGTTGAAGAAATATTTGACTGGAACAGAGAATGGTGTTATTAGTAAAAATAAGGTTTGGGGATTTTCTTAGGATTTCACCAAAAATACCTATTACCAGAGAAAATTCAAGAGTTGAATGTCGCTTCCTATTTGTATTGATCAGAACACTCTCCACTGACCCAAACTATTTGGGGAGGGGAAGGCAAAGAGAAATAGAAGCTTCTTTTGCCAAATAAATAAATAAATAAAAGTTTTCACACTATTAGAACAAACTGGTGGAACCTATAGAAAAGTGGTCTACATGTATATGGCAATGTTGGGCTAATACATTCATCTGAGGGAAGAAGGAAATTGGAGTCTTCATTTATTGATACCATAGAGCCAGTTTGTGTATGTAAAGCAACTAGAAAGAAATTCAAAGGTCAAGTTGTTTTCTGCTTGTAACACCCAATATTCATTTCAAGACATGCAAAAAGAATTCAGAAAACAGATTAAATTAAGTGGGAACAATACTGAGTTAGGATGTGAGCTTCACAGAATAGCAGCTTAAGAAATTACAGAGAGCCTGATCTAGCCCCCCTACCCCAAATGCCAGATCAGGAAACTCAGGTTGGTGAAGTAAGATGGAGTCCAAGGTCCTGGGTTCAAGTGTTGGCTCTGAAACTTACTAGGTGCTGCAGTGTTCAGAGGTCCCAGCCTGGAGTCAGGAGGACCTGAGTTCAAATTCAGCCTCTGACACTTACTGTGTGACCCCATTTAGGGTTTTTTTGGCAAAGATACTGGAATGGTTTGCCATTTCCTTCTCCAGCTCATTTGACAGATGAGGAAACTGAAGCAAACAGGGCTAAGTGACTTGCCCAGGGTCACACAGCTAGTAAGTGTCTGAGGCAGATCTGAACTCAGTAATTTGAGTCTTCCTGACTCCAGGCCTACCACTCTATCCACTGTAAAATAAGGGAGTTGGCTAAATGACTGTAAGGTCTTCCAGTTTTAAATTCACAACCTTAAGACAAAAGAGCTCTGGAGTCAAAGGTTCTGGTTCAAATATAGTAAATATGAGTATTTACTGCCTCCCTAACCTTACAGATCATGTCACCTCTTTCCATCTTTCTCACTCAGGAGGAAGATGGCCTAGATCACTAACCTCGTTAGTGTCTAGGACCATTTTGGCAATCTATGCATGCATCCCTTTTCAGAATAGTTGTCGCCTCTACTGATAATGGAAGGAAATGCTAAGCTTCAGTTAGAAGTTAATCAAAGTAACGATGTAATTTTTTTTTCATCCAAGTTCACAGACTCCCTGAAATTTATTCATAGGCCTCTAGTTTAAGAACTCCAATCCCATCTAATCTCTAAGGTTTCTTCTGTGATTTATCTGTTTTTCCTAAGGTCACATGGCTAATTACTGTCATATATGGGACCAGAACCCTGACCACTAAATTGAATGTACTATAGTCACTTATGAATCCTTTCAGCCGCAAACTCCCCAAGTCTATTCTGAATATAATTTGATTTGCAAAAATCTATTTTAGATCAGCTTTTTGGGATCAAACCCATTGATTACAGACTACTTTTTTCTTTTTTTAAAGGCTGAAGTTTTAAGACCTTCTAATTAGGCGATGGATTGTATGGGAGTAATTCCTGCTAAGAGAATTGCAGTTTCTTGCTGTCTAAAGTAGTGTTGATGATAATGATTGGGTGCGAAATTAATGGTGTGTGTTGTAAAGGCAATGTGTAAGTGTTAGGCTCCACAGGAATGGAATTGGAGGGAAATGTGCCTGGGAAGCTATGTGGGGCCGGCTGAGTTTTTGAGTCAGGGGGAAGAGAGGTTATGTGCTGAGGAGGAGGGAATGTCATGGAGGCCAACCACAAAGAAGAACTCACAGGGAAACTGCAGGGATTCTAGAGAAGGGGTTTGACTCCAAATTCCCAAATAAAATAAGGACCTCTTGGGGGTTGGGGAAAGGGCAGTGGGGTTCACTAGAAAATGCTGGATGTGAGCTCAGGGCCTAGATATGAAACCCAGCCCTGGCTAGCCTCTCTAGATAATCTATGATCCAATTCATTCATTCATTCATTCATTCATTCATTCATTCATTCATTCATTCATTCATTCATTCACTGTGCTAGGTTCTTAGGGATACAAATACGAGAAACTGTCCCTACCTTCAAGAAACTTCTATCCTCTTACATAAAAGCAAAAGCTAACATAAACTTTCATGGGAGCAGTGTTCTTAGGAAGTGAAGCAAAAGTCATATGAATGTTGATAAATCGAACCTATGGGAAATAGGGAGTTAGGTTCTCTCAACCACCGAAAACTGTAATCTTTTGCTAGAGACTGCTGAAAAATACATTTTTGCATACAATTCTTTATAACAAAATATTAATTCTGATGATATTCACTTTTCCTAACACAGTAACCACGAAATAAACCGATAAAATACAGTACACAAAATAAAACTGGTAACACACAAAACATTTTTTCTCGCTACTAATTCCTTAGAATTTGGTGACCTTTTGTGCTAATATCTTACAATATTCACTTTTCATAACACATGAATCTACAGTACCATCAATGCTTGCCTCCTTTTTTTTAGATATAAAAAATCCTTGATTCATTAACAATGGCTGCAGGCGGTTCCAGCATAAAGTTTCTCCAACACCTTTATTTTCTCACTAAACCACCATCACAGACTTTGCAAGCCCCTGGGTATAAAGGACTTGCACCACCCTGTGGGGTCATAACTACAGCACAAAACTTAACTTTTAAAGGCAAGCAATGAAAATATGCCATGAATGCATAGAGAGCTCTTTGTATTGGTAGGGTGAACAAGACCAGTGAAGCACCTAGTAGGATATCAGCCACTCCACAAATTTGTGCACATATCACCTCTCATTTTTTTCAACGTGAAAGTGAAAACGAGATTACACCCAAATGTCTGCAGTCCCAAAGTCAAAATCGCAAATGTTGAGGATTGACTGCATACCCAAATACATACTATGGTGATTTATAAAAATACTGAATAAAAGGCACTCAGGAGTGGCATTTATTAAGTGCCTATAAAGACTATACCAAAAAAAAAAAAGGCAGCTAGGTGGCATAGTGGATAGAGTGCTGAGCCGGGAGTCAGGAAGACCGGAGTTCAAATCCAGCCTCAGACACTTACTAGCTATGTGACCCTGGGCAGGCCACTTAACCCTATTTGCCTTAGTTCCCTCATCTGTAAAATGAGGAAGGCAGATGAAGGAGGGCTTCTGAGGTCCTTCCCAGCTCTATAATCTATGACTTTATGTACACTTTTCTAGGCTTGGTATGGATGGGCTGCATTTTATTTCACTGGAGGGAATTCTGGAATAAATGAGATCTTGGATCTATTTAAGCATGTGATAATCTTTGAGTGATAGGGAGCCCCATGCTGCTTTCAGATTAGTGGGAATGGGATAAGACAGCAGAAAGGCAGGAGCAAGCCTTGTGACTCTTCACCCCAGAGGCAGGGTGAGGAAAGTCCTACCTGCCAATGAAATTCGACCCCCTCCCCCATCCTCCTGGCTGGGAAATGCCCCAACATGTGCCATTAAAAATTCCATGTGGTTGGGTGACTTGGCCTCAGACCTTGAATAAAGCACTGACTTAACCTGCTGCTTTTGAAATTCAGGAAGCATCTATGATTACTAATAAAAATAAACAGGCTTCGGGTGGGGGGAAGGGAGTGGAAAGAGGGCTATTCAATGGGTGTGAGTGGGTGGTTGTGATAACTAGGAGCTAGGGACCTGAGACAGGAGAAGCCAATCCCCATCCTCACCCAACCACACCCAGTCTAGTAAGGCATTGTGATATAAGATAAAACCAAAAAGGCCCCCATCACTGAACTTGATTTCTAAGGACCAAGGCTCTAGCCCAGGCCCTGCCACTTAATTAGCTGGGTGACCTTGGTTAAATTACTTAACCTTTATTTCCACATCTGTGAAATGGGGATCTGCCTTACAGAGTTGACATGAGCTATGTTAGCTATTGTGATTACTGAGCACAGGAGAAATGAACCTTTTGGGGGGTGGGGGTGGGGCAACGGATGAAATCCAGGGAAGTTGTAAGCAAATTAAAAGTTGGAGAATCTGTTTTTAAATAAAATCATGAGGGTTGACCATTTAAGAGAACAGGTGGGTCAGTCAACTTGTAATAGAAATAGCCATCCCTTATATTATCCCTATCATAAGTGTCAATTCTAGTTAATCAGATTTGCTTGGTATGGAATTGGGCAGCCTTGCAAAGTACATAAAAATCAGTTATTTACAATCACAAAAGGGAAAAATCTGTAGATAATAATAAAAGTTCACATCTTTATGGTGCTTTAAGGTCAGCAAAGATGCTTTTCATGCAACATCTCACTTGAGTCTCACAACCACCCTCTAGGGTAGGTGCTATTATTATTCCCATTTTATATCAGAGGAAACTGAGGCTCAGAGGCATTAAGTGACTGGCCTGGGGTCACACAGCTAGTTAAGTGCTTGAGATGGAAAAACCCAGATCTTTCTGACTTTTCCTGTTAATTCATGGAGTCCATCTTGGCCTTTGGTTTCCAGAGAATCAGAAACATTCCTAGAGATGAAAGGGACCTTTGAGATCATTCCAAGGTCAAATTACTTCCTTTATCATCTCTTTCTCTCCCCCTTGCTTTTGCAGAGGTTCCCAAAAGTGTGCAATATTGCCCCTGGTGGGACAGCTAGAACAATCCAGGGTGGGGCGGTAGTAGCCTCTGGTGCAATGGAGGAAGGAGTATGTGAATAAAAATGAGAGGGCCATGGAAGCTTAAGGAAAGAAGAGAAGAAAATTCTGAAAAACCAATTGTACATATTTCATCTGTTCTGTAACAGAGTTAAAGTCATAATGATTACATTATTTTCCAAATAAACACACAAAATACAAGTTATAATCAATCCATGGTCCACCAACAGGTCTTAACAAGCAAGTGTTGGCAGGCAAGCCTGTAGCCCATTGTGAGGAAGTCCAGCATGCATGGGCTGGAATGTGTGTGTGTAAGGACTTGTTTGTAATATGATACTGTATGGTTACATGACCCAATACTGCATCAACAAATCTCAATACAGGAAAAAACTCACAAATTTACAAATAATTATTAAATTTAAGATGCTTCATTAAAAAAATTATTTTTTGAAATGACACATAGTTCAAAAAAACATTAAAAAGTTAAAAAAAGCAGATTTCTAGAAGGGATGCTGAGTAATTTTTTTTTTAAAGGGGGCTGTAGGCAAAATAAGTTTCGGAACCTTTGCTTTAAAGGAACAGAGAACTACAGAGTAGAAAGAACCCCAGCCTTGGGATTCAAAGGATCTGGGTTTGAATCCTGATCTTGCTACTTACTACATGTGAGCCCTTGTGCAAGGCCCTCAACCTCTACGGCCTCAGCTTCCTCATCTAGTCCAGTTAAGCTGGAGACGTCCCCCAAGGTCCTTTCTAGCTCTCAGTCCCATAACCAGGTACTCGAGGCCCGTCTGGCTGGCTGATTCCCACTCCCTGTGTGACCTCAGTAAATCATGCATCTTCTCTGGGCTCCTTCGCATCTAAAGTGCAAGGCTTCTCTCATACAACCTGGATTCTCAGCTCTCCTTTTCCCATGCTAAGTCTTGGGACCCTATATGGACCGACGGATGCCATGGCAACCAGGCAGGCGGCGGGCAGGGGACTGCAGAGTCACCAGCCTGGTCGAGAGGGAGCTGACCACACCTCCCTCTCCCCATCTGGGATCTGGAGGCTGGCATTTGAGCCCCGAGGCGGCAGGCCTGAGACACCGCAATGCCCTCCTCCTGGGGTCCCCCCAAGCCTTTGCACGGCCCGCGGCTCCCCCCCTACAGTGGTCAGCCCCCGCCCCCGCCCCCACCCCCGCCCCCACCCCTCCTGGGGGGGCCCGGGACTCACAGGTCTCCCTGAGAGCTGCTCCCCTCCATGCCGCCCCTCCCGGGGTCTTCCGGAGAATGAGCACGCCTCCTCCAAGGTCACGCCTCCCGAGCCTCGCGTGTCTGCTCCTGGCCTTGACCGCTAGGGGCAGGCAGCGCGGCTCTCACGGACTCCCCTGATTGGCTGCTTGGCAGCAGTCCCGCCCCCTTTCCTCCAGCCCCCTCAGCACCCAAGGGATGCTCGCATGTGCGGTCCCAGAACCATAGACGGGGAGGGCCCTCAAGGGCCATGGGGCGCCCTCTCTATTTGACGGAGAAGCAACCGAGGCACACGAAGTCACGAGATAAAAATAAACATAACATTTAGAGGTCGCTTCAGGGTCAGCAAAGTACTTTACACAGATTAATTACAACACTCTTGGGACCTGGGCGCTATGTTTATCCCCGTTTTATAGACAAGGCAATTGAAGCAAAAAGAAGTGAAGGGATTTGCCTAGGGTCGCACAAGCTAGGAAGTGTCTGAGTCTGGATTTGAACTCAGGTCTTCCTGACTGTAGGCTCAGAGCTCTGTCCACTGCCCCGCCTAACTACCCATATGTATAAATACGGGTGTATATTGTGTACCCTTCACTATGTGTATATATATATATATATATATATATATATATATATATGTATATGTGTGTGCATATGTATGAATACACAATATGTGTTTATAAATATATACATGTATAAACAATATAATACACATCGTTATGCATATATGTACATGTTAATACATGTGTATGTATTATACATATACCACATATGTCTATGCATATGCATACATATAACACATATCTCTGTGTATGCATGTGTGTATATTATATACCACATAGCCATATGTTTACATACTTATAAACATATCTCTTCTATGTACAAGTTGTTTACATGTTTCCATCATTAGAATGTGAGGTAGGTGCTATTATTATCCCTCTTTTGCAGATGAGGAAACTGAGGCAAACCGAGGTAAAGTGACTTGCCCAGGGTCACACAGCTAGTATGTATCTGAGGCCAGTTTTGAATTCAGGTCTTCCCAACTTCAGCCCCAGTGCTCTATCCACTGAGCCGTCTGTTATCATGCATGTGCCACCTACCTGTTTTGGAAGGCCTAGCTTTGTAATTGTTGACCCTGTGACCTTAGGCAAGGCACTCTTTTCAGATTTTCAGGACCAGGTGACACATTTTAGGCAGGAGACAGACAAGCTGGGGAATGTCCAGAGAGGGCCACTAGGATGGTGAAGGGACTTAAGATTATGCTAAATGAGAATTAGTTGAAGGAACTGGGGAAGACTTGGTGTTGGGACAGAGATGTGGCACGATAATTGTCTTAAGTACCCAAAGGGTTGTCATCCCGAAGGGAGATTAGACTTAATCTGCCTGGACGCAGGGATTTAGAACAATTAGTGAATGCTGCAGAGAATCAGATTTAGTCTCAGTCCATGGAAAAATCTCCCAATAATTGGAGCAGGGGTCTGTAACCTCTAGCCCATGGATCAAATGCAGCCAGCCTGTTTTGATGTAGTCAGAGAGCTTAGAATGGTTTTTACATTTTTGTATGTACCGTTCATAGTTCCATCAGGCCACACAAAACGGGTGGTGGGCTAGGACTTGGCCCATGGGCTGCAGTTTGCCAACCCTCGAATTAGAGGTAGAAGCCCTAAAACAGTGGGATGCTTTTGGGGGTGCTGGGCTGTCCTGACTAGATGAGATCTTGCTGGGAGGTGAGATGACAATTTTGGGAGGATGCTCTGGAGCAATGGTGTCAAACTCGAAGAGAAATGAGGGCTATTAATCTACACATAAGGATTCCTGTTGTTCAGTCACTTTCAGTCATGTCTGACCCTTTGTGACCCCATGTGGGTTTCCTTGGCAAAGATTCTGGAGTGGTTTGCCATATCCTTCTCCAGCTCATTTTACAGATGAGGAAACTGAGGCAAATAGGGTGAAGTGACTTGTCCAGGGTCACACAGCTAGTAAGTGTCTGGGGCCAGATTTGAATTCAGGAAGATGAGTTTTCCTGACTCCAGGCTCAGCACACTATCCGTTATTCCACCTTGCCACCCATAAGAAGCCCTGCGGGCTACATACTGATAGTTTTAAAATGTAATGTTATCTATGTTTTCTTGTATTTTTATTTATTTTGTTAAATATTTCTGAATTACTTTTTAATCTGGTCCAGCAGCACTCCCAAATGTTGCTCTGCATGCCAGTTTGACACTGTGCTCTAGAATGGAGTTAAGCAAGCTATTTGTTGCTGTTCAGTCATTTTCAGTCATATTTGACCCTTCGTGACCCCATTTGGGATTTTCTTGGCAGAGAAACTGGAGTGGTTTGCCACTTCTCCAGCTCATTTTACAGATGGGAAAAGGAAACTGAAGCAAACAGGGTTAAGTGACCTGTCCAAGATCACACAGCTAGTAAATGTCTGAGGCTGGATTTGAATCAGGTCTTCCTGGTCAGGCCCAGTGCTCTATCCACTTAGCCACCTGCCACCCAACACACATTTCTGTTATTAGGCAGATATGTCTCTGTGGGGATCTGGGTTCATTGATTACTATTTTTATGGCCAGCTATGAGCAGGTAGCCCCCTGCAAACTTCGAGACAGCAAAACATAAGGCACTAGGAGGTAGGGTCACAGGATTTGGAGCTAGCAGGGACATTAGAAAACACTGTTCTACCTTCCTCATTTTACAGATAGGGAAACTGAGGTCTGTTAAGAGGCATCGAATCCCACAGGAGAAAATTGAAAGTGGAATGGAAGGGACCTGTGGGAAACTCTCAATTCCCTTCTAGCTTTGCAATTATAGCCAACATTACAAATGTCTGTAATTCATCAGTTGAAGTACCCTTTCCAGGACTGCAGATTGCAATCCTTATTTGCCTCAGTTGATGGCATTTGTGACTTCCTGTGGCTAAAAACCATCTTTTGTTGTGGTCCACTCTCTGGTGATGAGTCTTTTGTTCTTGGGGTCATTGATCTATAGGAGGAGGTAATCTCTGAAGTTCAACTCCCTTATATTACAGATGAGGAAACTATAGCCCTGGGACGTTTAATGACTTGCCCAAGGTCACACACACAGTAAGAAGCACCAGACGGGTTTTGAAGCCAGTACCTTTCTCCGAGTATCATATTAGCTTAGCTCAGTTGGTCTTCAGAGGACAGATACAGAGGCAGCTTCTGATATTTGCTACTATGTGACCTTGGGCAAGTTACTTCACTTCTCAACCTCAGTTTCCTCATCTCTCAAATGTGTATAATAGTAAATGTGACACTTAATTCACAGGGTTGTGAGGCTTAGATTAGACAATATATGCAGTGAGATTTACAAACCTTAAGGCGTTATATAAATGTTATTATTATTATTGTCACTATTATTATTATTATTACTATAGACATTATGACAGAGAGTAGAAACCTGCCCTCAGAGCCAGGAAAGACCTGGGTTCGACTCTGTCTGACATACGCTGGCAGTGTGATCCTGGGCAAGTTACTTAATGTCTCAGAGTTCTAGGTAATTCTCTAAGACTCTAAATAACAGAGAAGGTGACAACTTGAATTGGTAGATGGAACGTCCTTACCTGGAAGTTCTCTAGATCAATGAAATCACAGGTTCAGTCTATACCCTGGTATGCCTGTCCATTATTGAGCCTGTCCTTGAAGCTTTATCAGCTTAATAGAAACCTCTAGAGCTTGTGTTCTGCTTCTAGAGCCTTTTAGAACCCTGGCTCACCTCAAGGCCACAGTCAGATGCAGGAAGGAGACTCTGTGATATGCCTCCTGACCGTGGCATCCAGTACAGCCCAGTGGCTCAGGCCTTCTCAAGTTGGTGTGAGAATTTATTTCCTTCTCCCTTCCTCCCCTACCTAAAGAGACAACACAATGACACTAGAAACCACCCTTTCCCCTACTTTCTCCTTCCTCCTTTCCTCCTTCCTCCCTTTTCCAGCACAGGGTGTCCTGCCTTTGAAGAATAAATGCTATGCTGTCCTGCACAGAACTTCAGGAGCAATGAGTACAAGATGGAAAGAGGAAAACAGGCTAAAATAAAGAAAAAAACTTGCAACAATGAGAGCTATGTATAAGAGGGAAGAGCGGCTGCAGGAGGTAATAGGTTTTCCCTCACTGAAGGTCTTCAAGCACAGGCTAGATGACCATTCGTAAGTTGTGTTGGAGTCAGGAATTTTTTGGAGAGGGGTATGGGTGTGGAGAGAGACTCTGAAGTCAGAGGATGTGGGTTCAAATGCTTATTTATTGCCTGTGTGACCTTCAGGAAATCACTGAACCTCCCTGGGTCCTCTGTTTCTGAGGGGTTTGGATAGGTGGCCTCTGAGATTCCTTCTAGATCTCAATCAATGGATCCTCTGAGGTCCCCTCCAATCTCAATCAACGGATCCTCCGAGGTCCCCTCCAATCTCAATCAACGGATCCTCCGAGGTCCCCTCCAATCTCAATCAACAGATCCTCCGAGGTCCCCTCCAATCTCAATCAACGGATCCTCCGAGGTCCCCTCCAATCTCAATCAACGGATCCTCCGAGGTCCCCTCCAATCTCAATCAACGGATCCTCCGAGGTCCCCTCCAATCTCAATCAACGGATCCTCTGAGGTCCCCTCCAATCTCAATCAACGGATCCTCCGAGGTCCCCTCCAATCTCAATCAATGGATCCTCTGAGGTCCCTTCCACCTCTGACATTCTATGAATCTTCAACTCAGTCACTTCAACACTGGGCTCTCAAAGGAAGAACAATTTTACTCCTGGAGCTCAGTGAACAATCAGTAGGCAAAAGTTGACCAGCTCTTCTAGAGGACTGATATTGCCCTTGATATTGTTATTCATTTATTGTTGGCTGCTTATTTATTATTGACTGATTATTATACTATTATGTTATATATTATATTATTATTGACTGATTTGTTAGTCATTTATTAAGTGCCTACTGTGTGCCAAGCACTGTGCTAAGGGATGGGGACACAATGAAATGCAAAAGAAAGTCCATGCTCTGAAGGATCTCACATTCCTGCAAGTCCCTGCCAACCTGATTATCAACCAGTCAATCAAGACATACAAGTCCATCCATCTCAGACACTTATAAGGCT